ATTTATATTTATATATACACACACACACATATACACACACACATATATTTATATATATACACACATATATATATATGCACACACATATATTTATATATATACATACATATACACACATATATTTATATATACACATATATATAAATATATGCATATAAATATATATTTACACATGTGTGTGTATATATGTATGTATATACACACACATGTTTATTTATTTAATTCCATTTTTTTCTTTTTTTAAATTTGATCAGGGAGAGACAGAGAGAGAAAAAGGGAGAGGGAGAAAGCAAGCCACCAGGTCCAGGACTTGAACCATGTGGGAATCCAGCTCCTTTAACCACCACGCCGTCCACCAGCCCACCTTCAGGTTTATATTAGTGTTGCCAGATAGAGTATTTGTACCGTCAGATGACCAGCCCCATCACAGGTGACTGGAGGACTTTGTGGCTGGTGTCATGAGACCAGTCTCAATACTTTTCCGTAAACTTTAACCCAGGCAGAGCACCTGTAATCCAGGTCATTTCCATCTTCAGAGACTTACCATTGTATGTGTTGTGGAGCCACCTTGTCCCCACTCAGTCTAAGTGATCCTGCATGGGCTAATTCTCTCGTACAGCTCTGCCATTTCACCCTATAGCTCCCGAGGTTGCCCTGAGGATGGTCTCCAATCCGCCAAGTCATCTTTAGAGTATGCCTCTGTGGGGACCAGCAAGCGGTGTGGTTGGTAAAAAGCACTGGATTCCCACAAGGCCAACCACAGTTCAAGTCCCGACCTGGCAGCTTGCTTTCTCACTTTCCCTTTCCCTCTCTCTCTCTGGTCAAATTTGAAAATAATAATAACAAATGGAATTAATTAAATAAATAATTCTTTTTAAAAAAGAAGAAGAAGAAGCATGCCTCTGTGCAGGGACAGGGTCCTGCTTTTGGCTATGTTCACCAGCTTCTATATCTTCCAACCACATCTTATCGTCCTGGTCTCTTGGGCAGACTGAAGCTCAGAGGCTCCTTGTCCAGATTTAGAGCTCTGCCCTGAGTAGCTCATCCCCAGTACCTTTATCTGCAAGGGAAATGAAAGCCAGTAAAGTCCAGTCTGAGGGTCTTGCGGGATGTCGAGGTTCAGACAGCAGGTACCCCATGGATGTGGGGAGCAGAAGTTCTTGGTGGTGAGGAAAAGAGGTGGCCAGATGTCTATAGTGATCACTGCTTCTTTATTGGCAGTTCTTATATTTATTTAAAAAGAAGATCAGCATGTAAAAGTTTTTAACCTTAGGCCAGCCCCAGAGTACAATGGTAAAGTGCTGTGTGTAGAAGGCCAGATCCTACACGGCCTACTTTGGTTAGAGTCCCAGCTGGGAGGAGGCTTGAGAACCTTACCTGCATGCCCCATATCCTGATGGGATGGGGAAATGGAGATTGTGGCATGACAAAGCCCCATTAGGAGGGCTTGCTGGGACCAGCAGTTAGCGTGATGGCTATGTTGCTGGACTCCCATGTAGCTGATTGCTGTTCGACTCCCAGACCCAGTGGCTTAAACTCAGGCCCAGCACATGTGCGTGAGTGCCCAAGATCCCGAGAGGAGAATGGAGGAGAAGAGATTGTGGCGTGTCCATCCCCCCTGGGTGTGATTTCTTGCTTTCTGTCTGTCTGTCTGTCTCTCTCTCTCTCTCTCTCTCTCTCTATTTTTCTGGCGAGCGCATGCGCCCTATAGCAAAAACCTCTCCAAAAAAGGAGGGCTTGCTTCCTCTCTTCAAGTATGCTGTGCCCTCTGGTAATTAAAAACAAAGCAAACAACAAAACTTAGAACCTTTTCCTGAAAGTAAAGAATTCAGCAATTGCTGGGGGAGAAGAGGCTGGAGAGGATGTTAGGACTTTTTGATTGCAGGTGATAGGAACACAGTTTAAGTGGTGAAAGCTGAAACAGGGAGCTCAGGGAAAGAGATTGAGGTCCAGAAGCCCTGGGCCCACTAGTGAGAATCAGGGGCTTACTGCTTCCCTCAGGCTGTCTGTGTCCTGTCCTCCAGTCAGAAAAGGTGTGGGTGTCTGTGGGCAGGATCCCTGTAGGTTTCCCCCCTGATGACATCGGTACTCTATCTTTTGACAATTTTAAAAAGAGAAGTTTCGAGTTGTGATCTGCTGGCTCCAAAAGGTAGCGTTTTGTAACCTACTGACCATCTTTGTTTTTTTTTTAATGCCATCGCCAGTTCATAGAAATGATCATTGGTTTCTTAGACAAGCATTTACTTAAAAAAAAAAAAAAAACAGGAAAGAGACACCTTTCTCTTGGCTTCCCCCTCTCTCCTTTTTTCAGTCGCTCAAAATATAATACTGTGTTTGGTCCCATCTGAAAATGACTGTTTTCAGACACATAAAATGGGAGCATTTTACACAGAGGTCCTTGTCATTTTCACAAATGGAAAGCAAATGAACCAAATCTAGTTGGGGAACATTGGTTTTCTCTTTTCTGCGCTAGTACAAGCTTTTTCTTTGTTTGTTTGCTGTAGGGAGTGTGTGCTCACCAGAGAGAGACAGAGAGGGAGAGAGACAGAAGGAGAGAGAGGGAGATAGAGAAAGCACCCTCCGGGGAGAATGACCACATTGCCATCCCTTCTCCTCCATTCTCCTCTTGGGATTTTAGGCATACATCCACATGCTCTTGATGTGTTTATCTTTTTTCTTCATTTTACTTAATATTATTTTTTAAATTGCTGTAGGGCACATATTTTCACCAGAGACAGACAGAGTGAGATAGCAAGCCGCCAGATCCAGGATTTGAACTGTGGTTAGCTATGTGGGAGTCCAGCACCTTAACCACCATACTACCTGCAGGCTTCCTCTGACATGTTTTTCAAGATGCTGGGTCTGGGACTTGAACTGCACTGTTGGCCATGTGGGATTCAGCCACCTTAACCACCATGTCACAAGACTGGTCCCAGTGACAAGCTTCTAGAAAGCCAAGCTTTCTACTTTGACGGTTGAAGAAAAGATATTTGACTTGCCTGGGGCCTACCATGTGTCAAGGGCTGACTTTTAAGTCTGTATTTCAGTAGAGAGAATGCCACTGATGTTTGCCCCCCCCCCCATTAAACAACAGAGTTAGCATGTAGTGAAGCAGAACATGTAATGATACATTTTATAGAGTTTGCTTTACTGTTATTGTTTTTTATCTTAGGTATATTTTTGTACAACGGGCATCCAATAAAACAGGTAGATATCTTGGGAACGGTCATTGGCACGAGAGAAAGAGATGCTTTCTACAGTTATGGAGGTAAGAACAGTTGTGTCTGAAATGGCTTTTATGCTAAAGGCCCCCACTTAGCTGAAAGTGGAATTTGAAGCAGCCCCAGGCTTTCAGAGCAGCTGGAGACCCTCGCAAAGTCCGAGGGTTTCCCCTATTGGAAGCCCCTTAAAGGCCCAGATGTGGAACTTAGTACACACGAGGCAACAGGTAGGAAGGGTACGGATGACTAATGTGTGGTGGCGGCGGCTGGGGAAGGAGGTGGAATGAAATGCAGTGGTCTGGAATCACTGATGGACGGGACGGCTGCCTGACACCCGAGAGCACAGTCACACCTAGCAGAGGATGGTACGCGTGTATATGGGTACCTTTCAAGTAGACTCTGAGAAGACTTGGACTTGTGGAAGATCATTTTAAAATATTTTTATCAATAATAGATTTTTTTTTAGAGCGAGATTATTGCTATAGGGTACGTATACTCACCAGAGATACAGAAAGCAAGAAATCACCCCCCCAAGGGGGATGGCCATACTGCAAGCAATCCCTTCTCTCAAGAGCTTGGGCACACATGCACATGTGCCCAGTGTGAGTTTTAAGCTGCCAGGTCTGGGACTCGAACCGCAGTTGGCTCCATGGGAGTCCAGCAGTGTAACCACTTATGCCATCTGCTAGCCCGTCAATAATATTTTTTTAAAAAACAAGCCTGGGGACCGGCAGGGGGGACGGGAGGTTAAGGCGGAACGGTAGTTAAGGGCGCTGGACTCCCTCATGGCTGACCACAGTTCGAGTCCCTGATCTGACTGCTTGCTTTCTCACTTTCGCTCTCTCTCTCTGGTCAAATTAAAATAAATAAGTAGATAGATAGATAGATAGATGGATGGATGGATGTAACAAGCTCTTGGTGCTCAAAGGGATAAAGGTTTCCATATTTTGGACACCAGAGAGTTGCTAGAATGTGATTTTTTTTCTTTTTTAAAAAAAACTATTTAATTTTATTCATTCATTTATTTTTAATTTGACAGAGACACACAGAGAGGGTGGTGGCGGGAAGTGACAATGCAAGCCACCAGGTCTGGGACTCGAACCTTGGTCAGCATGTGGGAGTGTCCAGCATCTTAACCCCCATGCCACCTCTGATCCCGCTAGAATGTGATTTTTAGTATAAAGGGCTTTACTTTTTTCAGGGAGTTCAGTGTAAGCACTTTAATATGTTCCCCTGTGCTACTCCAAAGTTTTCTGCAGTACAGAGGCCACATTGAATGTTTTGTGGGACACTTAACTTGAATTCCAAAGCTGTGCTGTAATTGATATTGTCACTTTTTGGTGATGTTGCTTTGAATTTATCTTCTTGCTCTATTTGGAGAAAGACAGAAGGCCAGTGAACTTTGTAACCAAGAGGATTTCCTCAGCAGTCCCTTCATGATTGGTCGTTTATAGGATACAAGATCATCGCATTTATTCAGTACCTATGCATTTTCCCAAGGGTCATTGTCTTATAAAATAACAGATAAATAAGAGAGACCAGATAAATGAGGTCTCTCATGCCTTCTTTTTCCCTGCTTGTTTTTTTTTTTTTTTAACTCTGAAGTAGATCATCTTGTCAAGTGTGCTTTTTACTGAATGCCTTCTCTGCTTTATTGTACCAAAGATACCGATTCTGTTTTTCTCTAGACAACTTAACAAACACGACTAAATTCCTGCACGGTCGAGCAAACGCATTGTCTGAGGGATGATAAGGTACACTTCCTCTCTGAAGACCAGTGATGAAGTAACAGTGTCTTTCAGTTTACAAAATCCTTTTCATGCATAACTTCATGTTATCTTCCTCTACTCTTTCAAAACAGAAAGGATTGATAATATTTTCACTTCATAGATAAGAAAACAAAGGCCCTGTAGCTTAAGGTCACGCTATGGAGGTCCACGGTGGAGGGTCTGACTGACTGACTCCAGTGTGCTCCACAGTCCTCACGTAACTCAGTTTGCTTTTCCCCTCCTTCCCTCTTAGACGGCCTCCCCCCCACATCATCTGCTGCTTGTTTTTAGTTTTCTGTTTTGCAGATCAAATAAATGAGATTATTTGTGGACTTCAGTCGTGGCCCTACGGCCAGGCCAGATGTAAAATCTGTGACCTGAAGGGGCTGCACTTAACCCCTTTTCCCATTATGAAAAGATTAAGATGATACATTTGAGTCTTGCCAGAGAACCTTTCCCTCTGAGTGGGCGGATGCCGTGAGAGCATGACAGCTCTGTGGGCTGTGGGAAGATGAAACGCATCTGAAGTTGAAGTCATCGAGAGTAGAAACGCTTCCGTGACTGTGGTTCTCACGTGGCCTGTTCAGGTGGGAGCTGCCTCTCTCCCTGCTGTTCTCAGGCCCAGCTGGGCTCTTGGGCCACCTGCCAGCCAGCCACTCTCTGCCGTCTTGGGTCCTGCTCCCCTTGACTCATGAGAGGCTGTGCTGGGTGTTTCCTGCTCACCCCGACTTATCCCATTGTGAAACAAAAGACCAGTGGCCCGGTGGTGCTGCCCAGCTGTATGTAGAGCGTCATGGCGCTCTACAGGAGCAGTCAGACCTCGGCACCGCGGCATAGGTCTGCCGGGAAAGGTTACAGACCAGGGAAGTCTAACGGTTTGGTGGCAATACCTGGAGGGCCGGGAGCACGGGGCGGCAACTCAAGCTCAGAGCTAGAATCTTGGGGGCTAAGGTGGAGACTAGAATCACCTCTATGGGCCAGCCTCTGGTCTGGTGGTTGAGGTGGTTGGATTGCACACAACTGACTGCACAGTTCAAGTCCTAGACCCAGTGACTTGAAAAACACTCTGGATGTATGTGTGTGTGCCCAAGATCTCAAAAGGAGGGAGAGATGAAAGAGAAGGGATTGCAGAAAAGCATTTCCCATAGTGGGTGCTTTTTCCTTTCCCTCTGCTTCTGTCCCTCTGCAGGTACATGCACTCCCGGGAAAATTTTCAGAAGAGTAGAATTTCCTCACATTTTCTCTTTTCTTCTTTCTTTCTTTCTTCTTTTTTTTTTTTTTTTTGAGAGAGTTTTTTGCTATAGGGTAACTGTACCCCCGGAGACAGAGAGACAGAAAGTGAGAAATCACCCTCCGGTGGGGATGGTCACACCTTAATTCCTTCTCCTTCATTCTCTTCTTGGGTTCTTGGACATAAACACACACGCGCCTGGTGTGAGTTTTTAAGCCACTGGGCCTGGGGCACAAACCATGGTCAGCTACATGGAAGTTCAGCAATGTAACCATTAAGCTATCTGCTGGTCCCAGAATTAGAACACATTTTCTAGAACAAACATTCATGTGCTAATTTCTTTTTCTAGAACAAACATTCACATTTTCTAGAACAAACATTCATGTGCTAATTTTTTTTTTTAAACTTTTCCTTATGAATCAAGATTTTCAGCTGGGCAGAGTAGTATTGTGCTTAGAGGTGTACATTTTTTTTTTAGAGAGATTCTTGCTATAGGGTGTGTGCGCTCACCGGAGAGACAGAGAGACAGAAAACAAGAAACCCCTTCCCCAGGGGTTGGCCACAGTGTATTACTCACACACACATATGCACAGTAATGGGTTTTAAGCCTCCAGGTCCAGGACTCAAACCACAATCGACTTCTTGGGAAGCCAGCAATATAACCATTACTTCATCTGCTGGTCCTGGTGTTGTACATTTTTAAATTCAGAATGTCCTTATTAATTGTTTTGTTTCTTAAAATAACACCTGTTATTAAATTAAACTCAAAATTAGAAAATTTAATGAAGTACAATTCAGTCATATGAAACATTATATATTTTTTATTTTTTTAAAAAAGAACATTCTTTGTATTTTTTTTAAAGAATTATTTCATATTATTACTATTTTTAAATTTTCTATAGGGCATATGCACTCACCAGAGAGAGGGAGAGCAGGAAAGTGAGAAAGCACGCTGCCAGGTCTGAGACTCGAACTATGATCAGCCATGTAGGAGTCCAGTGCCTTAACCACCATGCCACCTGCTGGCCCTGCAAAACACTATAAATTAGACAAAAATAATGTCAATATTTGGACAAATATCCTTCATAATATTCATAACCTCTTCCTTGAAGAAATATAGGATTGCCGTATTGGTCTTGTTATGTATATTTCTCTTCGTACTTATTATTTTCTGAAATTAGGCTTACAGTCAATGTATACGTGTGGTCATTGACTACTGGCTTCCTTCTCCACACTCCAAAAAAATGCTATTAGCATTTAATGTCTTTTTTTTTTTTTTAAGAATTATTTATTAAGACCAGCAGGCAGCGTGGTGGTTAAAGTACTGGACACTCCCATATGGCCTCTCGTAGTTCGAGTCCCGGACCTGGTGACTTGCTATCTCACTTTCCTTCTCTCTGTGTATCTGTCTTTCTCTCGTCAAATGAAAATATATGAATGAATAAATAAAATAAAATAAATAATTCTTTTTTAAAAAGAATTGTGTGTTGTTATTATTATTTTTTTAATTTGCTATAGGGCACATGCATTCACCAGAGAAAGAGGAAGGAAGAGAGAGAGAGAGAGAGAGAGAGAGAGAGAGAGAGAGAGAGAGAAAGAAAGTGAGAAAGTAAACTGCTAGGTCTGGGACTCAAACCACATCAGCCATGTGGGAGTCCAGCACCTTAACCAGCACACCACCTGCAGGGCCCAGCATTTAATGTCTTAAAATCACACTGTTAAATGTTTTACATAAGTTGGATTATAATAGGATTTATAGAAAATATAAGATTATATAAGATTTCTATCTTACATTGAGGTATGTGGGGTTTTTTGTTTTGCTTTTAGTTTGCTATAGGGTGCATGTGCTTGCTAGACAGAGACAGAGAGAAGGAAAGAGAAAGTGAGAAATCAGAAATCACCCCCTACAGGGACCAGCAGTTAGTGTAGTGGCTGTGTCGCTGGACTCCCATGTAGTCGACCGCGGTTCGCGTCCTGGACCCGGTGGCTTAAAACTCAACGCCGGGCGCATGTGTGTGCGTGCCCAAGATCCTGAGAGGAGAATGGAGGAGAAGGGATTGTGGCGTGGGCATCCCCCCTGGGGGGTGATTTCTCGCTTTCTGTCTCTATGTCTCTGTCTGTCTGGCGAGTGCATGCGCCCTATAGCAAAACGCCTCTCCAAAAAAAAAAAAAAAAGAAAGAAATCACCCCCCACAGCCCCTTCTGCTCCATTCTCCTCTCAGAATTTTGAGCACACACACACACACACACACACACATGCCTGCTGTGTTTTTTAAGCCACTGGACCCAGGATTCAAGCCAAATAGTGGGCCATATAGGATCCAGCACCTTAGCCACCACACCACCTGACTGGCCCAACGTACATCTATCATTTCATAGAAGTGAATGTAGAGCTTCATTATAGCTTGTTTTTTTCCAACTTCTGGAAAGTACATGTGCTCGCGGGCGCGGTGGCGCCCGCCCTATGGCAAAAATCTATGGAGGTTGGAGGATTGCGGCATCGAGGCTGTCTCTCTCTTTAACAACAACAAAAAAAAAGGGAACCAGCAGTTAGCGTAATGGCTATGTCGCTGGACTCCCACGTAGTCGACCGCGGTTCGTGTCCCGGACCCGGTGGCTTAAAACTCACGCCGGGCGCGTGTGTGTGCGTGCCCAGGATCCCGAGAGGAGAATGGAGGAGAAGGGATTGCGGCGTGACCATCCCCCCTGGGAGGTGATTTCTCGCTTTCTGTCTCTACGTCTCTCTCTGTCTGTCTGGCGAGCGCACGCGCCCTACAGTGAAAATCTCTCAAAAAAAAAAAAATACATGTGCTCGCCAGATAAAGAGTGAGAGAGACCTCAGTGGGGCATGGTCACAAATTCCTTTTCTTCTGTTTCTGTATCCCATCAAGATTCCGGGCACACGTGCACGTGTTCAATGTGTTTTTCAAGCTGTTGGGACCAGGGTTTCAGCTGTGGTCTGCTGCGTGGGATCCGGCTTCCTATGTACAGCATTTAACTGCTGTGATATGGAGCTGGCCCGTTCGTTATAACTTTTTATTATCACGTGCTGCATCATTGTAATATATGTAATCAATTCCATACTTACAAACACTTAGGTTATTTTCAGTGTTCAGTTTTATAAATGTGAAATGAACAGCTCTACCCAAGGTGTACTATTATTATAGTGTGTATACTACTTTGTTTTTCTCCTTCAAATAAATTATTAGAAGTAATTGCTAGGGCTGGCAGGTGGCATGGTGACTAAAGCACTGGACTCCCACATGGCCGACTCAGTTCAAGTCCCAGCCCAAGCCCTAGAGTTTTGCTTTTTCATTTTTTTTTCTCTCTCTCTCTGTCCCTCTTAGGTCAAATTGAAATAAACAAATGAATAAATAAATAAAATTAAATTAAATAATTATTTTTAAAATAAATAAAAAGATAAAAAACAAAATGTAATTGCTTAGAGAAATATACCTGTATCAAAATTTAGTGTATGTTTCCAAACTTGCTTTTTGGAAGCTAGGTACTAATTTATATTCCCACTAATACCATATTTTTTAAAAGAATTATTTATTTATTTATTTAATTCCATTTGTTATTATTATCTTTTAATTTGACCAGAGATAGAGAGAAAGGGCAGGGAGAAAGCAAGCACCAGGTTCAGGACTCAAAATTGTTGGCCATTTGGGAGCCAGCACCTTTAACCACCAGGCCACTTGTCGGTCTCCTTAATAGCATATTTTTAATATTTGTTAGTCTAGTAGTTGAGAAATTATTTAATTTCCTCGTTAATATTAACTAGTGATTATGCATGTTGACAAATTTATTGGCCATTTTTATATCTTCCATGGCTTACACGTTCTTTACATTTTTTTTTTCTTGAGTCTTTTTCTTATTCATTTACTTGAGCACGAACCCTGTCATTTGGAAAATTGCTACCCAGTATTAGTTTTTAGGTTGTCAACCACATCAGTCTTTTTTTAAAAAACGAGTTCTGAATCTCAGGTTTTATTTAAAGAAATTCCTCCCCACCAACTCTAAAAGACTAAAAATCTTGGCTTATATCTTCTTATCATCTTAAATTTACCTATTTTGTATTTAATAAAATGGAACTCATCTAAAATATATTTTAGTATAAGAAATATTTTTTGGGGGGCCCGTAGTTAGCGTAATGGCTATGTTGCTGGACTCCCATGTGGTCAACCATGGTTCGAGTCCCGGACCCGGTGGATTAAACTCACGCCAGGCACGTGTGCATTCGTGCCCAAGATCCCGAGAGGAGAATAGAGGAGAACAGATTGTGGCGTGGCCATCCCCCCTGGGGGGTGATTTCTTGCTTTCTGTCTCTTTCTGGTGAGCGCACACACCCTATGGCAAAAACCTCTCAAAAAATTTTTTTTCTCAACTTTTCCTTTTAATACATATTCAAGCCAACAATAAGCTTTTATGCTTCTCTGCATTATGTGAGCTTTTATAACAGTTGAGTTGTTGCTTTTTAAAAGAAATTATGAAGCCCACTAACCCCATGCTTGGCAACGTCTATTGAGTTTGTCAGAAAAAATTAGGCAAAGAGAAAATGCCTGTCATCCCATAGCAAACATCTCTAGCTTCTTTACAGCTATAAGTTCCAGTATAATGAGTAATTTATTTTTTTGCAATAGAAATAATACAGACCAGTATTGTTTCCAGGGCCAGGATATAATTATTTTCTGTGATGAAAATGAAACTACCCCCTTGTGTGATGTGCTTGGCTTTATTTACATCCCCTGCAGTGGTGAGGACTGGGCAGAGGCTCTCTCACAAAGAGAAGCCCAGGCCAAACAACTTGGAACACTGTCCTGGTAAGTCAGAAAGCTAGCAGGAGATGGTGACAAGGCTCTGCTCTGAGCACCTGTGCCTCCTACCACAGATCACATGACGATGCTCTCTGTGTCAGTGTGGGAGAGAGAGGCTGGCTTTGCATGTAAGCAGTCTTTGAGATTGCACTCAACTTCCTGAGGACACCATTTTTAGTAGAGGGGTGTGGCCGAGAATCATTAGAGAATCATGCCTAAAATGTTGGCTATATCCCACCAGACTCTTGTATTCATATTGGCATGTGCAGGCGAGCAGTTCATTGGTTCTAAAGGTGGAAAGAACTTTTAATACGGGACTCGCATCTCCTGACTACTGAGAAAATGTCATCGTTCAGTGTGACGAATTGCAGTGGTGACATGATCATTTCCCAGCCGTGCCTAAATCCCTTGTCTCCCCTTTATGCTTCCCTTACAGTGGATGACAGCACCGGAGTTATAAACTGCATCTGCTGGAAAAAGTTGGGTCATACCGAGTCTTCACCAGGTAATGCTGCTCGCTGTACTCCTTGACTTTTAAGCTAACCAATGGCTTTTCCTCAATGTGGCTCATCAGAATGGCTGTAGGGCTGTATCTTCACGCGTATCCATTGGTATGAATTCCACTGATCAACTCAAAGCACTGCTCCGGAGAGAAGCAGAGAGAGCGATAGAAAGTGAGAAATCATCTTCTAGGGTGGATGACTATGCCACAATTTCTACTCCTCCATTTTCCTCTTAGGATTTTGGACACGTGCACACATGTATCCGGTGTTTTTTTGTTGTTGTTGTTTTGTTTTAAGATTTATTTAATTCCATTTGTTATTATTATTATTATTAATTTAACCAGAGAGAGAAAGAGAAAGCTAGAAAGCAAGCTACCAGGTCTGGGACTCGAACCGTGGCTGGCCATGTGGGAATCCAGCAGCTTTAAGTACTACATCACCTGTCAGCCCCTCTGGTGTGTTTTTCAAGCCCCTGGGTCCAGGATTTGAACCACTGTGTCAACTATGTGGGATCTAGCACCTTAACCTCCATGTCATCTGTTGTTCGCAAGAGTGAGATTTTTTAAATTTCAGTAAGTAGACGAATAGGTGAATCATCGTAGCAGGAAGCCCTAATTTGAAATTACTTTGCAGGTTTAAAGAGGGGGTGAGAATGCGAGGAGAAAGCCTATAAATGATTCCCATCAGATTCCGTAAGAAGTAATGTTTTTAAAGGGTTCTCAACTCGCTCAATGGCTTTTCTTTATTTAATTGCCCTCAGTTTAAAAGTTTTCCATTGGAAAGTGGCCAATAAAGGCTGATTTTTTAAAATGAAAATTTAGCTAGAGTCAAAAATTATGTTCCAGTCAGTTAAAAGTATAAGAATATAATACGAACTCCCATAAATGTCACATTGAATGTACCATTTGGGCTTAGCTTATGAGCAAAGTTAAGAAAGCTTGGCCCTTAATATTAGAAATTTAAAGGGGATTTATCTTTCATGATGGAATAGACGACTTAAAATGAAGTTCCGCCAGGCTCCAACCATCTCGTTACATTCATTACATGACACGGCGTGAGCCTCCTTTCAGCGGTTCGGCCTACTCCTGAAATGAAAACTGGCCCTCTCTGTCTCAGACCAGCCTTCAGTCTGACAGTTTCAGTGGTGCTATAGGAACCATTTATTACTACTTTTCATGTCTGCATAATGGTCATGAAATTTATAAATACCTTTAAAATTCAGCCTAAATAGAAGAGGACCTGGGCATAGGGACCCAGATGGAATAGCCTTTTAAAAAGTAATACTTGGAGATTTTCTAAAGCAACTCAGTAAGCCGAGCAGCCTCAGTACGGATGGAGTTGTTTCCCAGGTGTTGGTCACTGCATATACACTACAAAGCCATGATGATCAAAAGTGTCCTAGGTTTAAAAGCAGACAATTTGGGCCCAGCAGGTGGCCAGCAGGTGGCACGGAGGTTCAGAAGACTGGATCCCACATGGCTGACTACACATTCAAGGTCTGGACCCAGCACCCTGAAAAACATGCCAGGTGTGTATGTACATACGTGCCCAAAATCCCAAGAGGAGAATGGAGAAGGGATTGTGGTGAGGTCATTTCCGCTTGGGGAAAGAGGCAGTTTTTCACTTCCCCTCTTTCTATCTCCCTCTATCTCTCTAGAGAAAACTAAAAGAGAGAGAGAAGGTGAGGAATCATCTCCTGATGGAGATGGCCATGCCACAATCCATTCTTCTCCTTTTTCCTCTTGGGATTTTGGGCATGCACACACACGCACCTGGTGTGTTTTTCAAGTCGCCTGGTCCAGGACTTGAATTATAAACACCCCACAGCAAACTAAAAAAAAAAAGAGAGAGAGAGAGAAAGAGAAGAAAATTTGATCAAGAGACCAAAAGAATGATTCAGTTTATTCCAAAAGCCCTATGCAAGCTAGCCCCATAGCCTAATGTTTAAGGGAGCCAGATCCCTCATAACCAATTGCAGTTCAAATCCCAGTCCCAGTGACCTGCAAAACACGCCATGTTCATGTGTGCTCCACATCCCAGTGGGATGGAGAAATGGAGGATAAGGGATTACAGCATGGTCATCTCCATGGAAATCACCTTCTCTCTGTCTCTCTTTAGCAAGTATATATGCCCTATGGCAAAAACCTTTTAAAGAAAAAGGAAAGAGGGACCAGGAGGTGGTGTGGTGGTTAAAGATGCTGGATTCCCACATGGCCAATTGTGGTTTGAGTCCTGGACCTGGAAGCTTGCTTTCTCGCTTTCTCTTTCATTCTCTCGCTCTATCCCTTTCTGGTCAAATTGAATAAATAAAGTTAAATAAATTAATTCAAAAAAAAAAAAGAAAAGAAAAGAAGAAAGGAAATAGAATGGGAGAGTGCATATAATAACCATAACTGATAAAGCTTCCTTGAAATCGTGAAGAAATGAACATAAGTTTAAAAATGAATGCATAAAAGAATAAAGAATATGGACTGACTTCATCCATAGCTCAATGGTTAAGTGCTGTGCAGAGGAAGCCAGATCCCATGTTAAAGACCAGAGTTTGAGTCCTAGCCCCAGTGGCTTGAAAAATTCAGTGAGCAGGGAACAGCAGATGGAATAATGGCTACATCACTCAACTCCCATGTAGTCAACCGCTGTTCAAGTCCTGGACCTGGTGGCTTAAACTCATACCGGGTACATGTGTGTGTGTGCCCAAGACCGACCCTGAGAGGAGAATAAAAGAGAAGGGATTGTGGCGTGGCCATCCCCCTCGGGGGTGATTTTCCGTCTCTTGTCTTTCTGGCAAGCACACGTGCCCTATAGCAAAAACCTCTCCAAAAAAAAAGAAAAAAGAAAAGAAAATTTTACTGAGTGTTCATATGTTCCCAGGATCTGGAAAATTGGAGGAAAAAGATTGTAGCATGACTAAGCCCTGTTGGCAGGGGACAGGGAAAGGGGTGGTGAGCTCTCCTTCTCTTTCTCTCTCACATGCACAGGACCTCTGGCATTAAAAAGAAGAAGGAAAGAAAGAAAGAAAAGAAAAGAAAGACAGGCCAGATCATCATATGTAAAGACATATAGCCTCTCTTGCAATTTGAAAGCAAAACAAGCCACATGGAATCAGTATGGATTCATTAGGGTATTAAGAATCTAAACAACTGGGAACCAGAAGTTAGCGTAATAGCTATGTCACTGGACTCCCACATAGTCGACCGCGGTTCGCGTCCCGGACCTGGTGGCTTAAAACTCACGCCGGGTGCGTGTGCATGCGTGCCCAAGATCCCAAGAGGAGAACAGAGGATAAGGGATTGCAGCGTGACCATCCCCCCTGGGGGGTGATTTCTCGCTTTCTGTCTCTATGTCACTCTCTGTCAGTCTGGTGAGCGCACGCGTCCTATAGCGAAAACCTCTCCAAAAAAAAAAGAATCTAAATGACTGAAGCTGGTGTAGGAGCTGGGAGCATACTTGCTGATGATGTGGAAAAGCAGAGTGGGGGGTCTCTTCCTCTCAGTCCCATATTGAACTCACCTTGGAAGAGGTGCATCCAGTCTCAAAATGGAGGCAAAATTGCCGTCCAGTTGCCCCCAGCCCGACTCCGGCTGTTATCGCTGCTGCCTGGGGGAGGAGGGTCATGATCCAAAGAAAACTAGAGCAATTGAGAAAACTGATCATTGGTGAACTGAGCTTTGAAGCTACAGATGATAGTTTAAGAGAGCATTTTGAGAAATGGGGCACACTCAGATTGTGTGGTAATGAGAGACCCCCAAACAAAACAGTCCAGGGGCTTTGGTTTCGTGACTTCCTCTTGTGTTGAAGAGGTGAATGCAGCAATTGCGGCCACACAGAGTTGATGGGCTGTAGTGGAACCAAAGAGAGCTGTTTCCAGAGAGGATTCTGTAAAGCCAGTGCCCATCTCACAGTGAAGACAATTTTTGTTGGTGGTATTAAAGGAGATACAGAAGAATATAATTCAAGAGACTGCTTTGAAAAGTTTGGCAAGATTGAAACCATAGAAGTTATGGAAGAACAACAGAGTGGGGAAAAGGATTTGCTTT